AAACAGTAAATAAACAATGTCCAATGAGCTGTGACAGTCTATATGCAAAAAGACTTTCATACATATATACATAATCAGTGCAGAACAGTATGCACAAAATGCACAATCATTCAGAATAGGGACTCAACCCTTTACATCACAGTATAGTAAGCATTCGGTCTATACAAAACAGTAAGACAGTACAGAAGGGGGAATTGCAAAACACCCCTAAGCCTTAACATGATAGGCTTGGAACCTCGCAGTGAGGCACGGTAGTTGGCTGGACAAAACTGGAGTAACCCTGATGCTCCTAGCCGCGGTCGGGTGCCTGAACACCTACATATATATATGAGCAGTGAGCTAAAGCCCAGTGAATAACATAATGCGTAAAGGGGTTAAGAATGAATGTCCTTACAGTATGAAAACAGTTTAAACAGTATTTCAGTCATTCAGTCGGTATAGTCATATGTGGTACATCCATTAGCATATCAGTACAGTAAACAGCAGGTCTTAAAAGACCGAACAGTAGTGATGGCCATCAGTCAGTAAACAGTGGTGGTTCCAACAAGGGAACCGACAGAGATCTCTGTAACAGTAACAGTAAACAGTAGGTGCTAAGGATGCCACAATACAGTTCAGAATATAGGACATACATTCATTCAGTTAACAGTAATCAGTTCAGAAGACAGTACAGTTCAGTTGTTCAGAAGAGAATCATTTGTGAACATATCTTTATACAATCGTTACTCACAGAGTTCTGGGCTACAGTATGCTAGAGCGTGCCTCCCCAGTCGCCAACCCTACACAGTTAACAGGTTGAACACACTAAGCTACACAACTGGGAAAGATAATAACTTAATCCCTAAATGCCTCGGTGTGTTCTACATCTATATCCTCAACAAGACGCCTTAAACTAGGCCTAAGAATGCCTAGAATGGGATGATGATGCAAAGATGTACTCAAAAAGCAGTTTTAGAAGTTTCAGAAAAAACAGAGTCCCGCTCGAGCACGGTTTTACCCGCTCGAGCGGACATGCAATAAGGTACACGCTCGAGCGTCAACTTTCCCGCTCGAGCGTACTGTAAAAGTACTGGATGGGTGAAATCTCCGCTCGACGGACGCTCGACGCCCGCTCGATCGTGAGACACATGCCTCCGCTCGAGCGCAGAGATACTGGACGCTTGGATTCCACGCTCGAGCGGCACTTTTCCCCGCTCGAGCGGAAGTGCAAAATCTGGAAAACCCAGATTGCACCTCCAAGCCAAAAACCAAGTTTTAACAACTCAAAACTCGACCTCTTGGGCTGAATTTCCAGAAAACATTTGTAAACACATAGTTAAACATGATTCAAAACTCAACTTTGAGAAATCAAAGCCCAAGGGTGTTTAATCCAAACCCAATTTCAAACCATTTTCAAGAACAGGATGAACATGCAAACATGCATGAATTCAAATCAATTCAAAGCTTCAATTTGATGCTCTAAGGAGCCAATTGTTTCCAAAACATGATGAAATCATGGACTTAAACATAATTGTGAACATGCAAGTACCATTTTGCCATGAAAGCAACTCAACATCTACAATGCAACCATGCATGCAAGGATTGAGCTTCAATTCGACAACAATGAACCAAAGCATAACTTAGTTCTACAATGAAGCATGAACCATGCACGAATTAGCTCAAACACAAGAATGAGAAGATGAAATCCTTACCTAGGTCTTGTATTCAAGGTTTGGGAGCTCAAATAGCAATCTACACTTCAATTACCAAGCAATTCTTCAAGATGAATCCAATTTCTCTCACTCTCTCCCTCTCTTCTCTCTTGGTCGGCTATGGCAAGGAGGAAGGCTGAGCAAATGTTTTGATTTAAGTGTGTACAAGGCTCAACATGTGTGAGGTAGTGGCCACTAAGTGGTCTAATGGTAATTAAGTCAAACTTAAGCAATTGATCAATATTTAATCTAATTTAATCATACCTAATCAGTTTTCAGATAAATACACCATAAGATCACATTAATTATGAGGATCATAAAACATCAATCAATTCCCGGTTTGGCCGTCGATAAGGCCTTCAATTAGCAGTTTAAATGTGAACAGATCAAGTAAATAATCAAACAGATAGAACACAGATTAACACACATACTCAGTCAATTCAGTTCCAGTTTTCAGTCAGTCAGTTCAGTACTTTAATCAGTTCAATTATCAGTCATAATCAGTTCAGTTTGACGGTAATCAATGTTTATCGGTAAGCAGTGATGAGGGTTATTACAATACACATATATAATCAAATGAATCTAAAACTCACGGTGAGTGAGAATGCGAAGATTGTCGAAGAGATCAAGGAATCGAAGAGACGAAGATCTGCAAAAGCGAGAGCGAGAACTGAAGGGCGAAGAATAAAATAGCCAAGTCTTGGGGCCAAAGAAAAGGGTTTTGTGGGCGATTGTATATCTTTTGCAATAATTACTAACTGACCACACTAGAAAGAAGTATTTTCAAATAGTGTAATTTATTGCAATCCTCATACGATAAGATCCTAAATTTTACATGCTTTGGCATTATTACCTAGGGTGTTCGCTAGGGGTGTCCGCGGTTCGATTTGGGACGGTTTGCAGTTCGGTTTGGACCCGCCCGCATCTTTACGGTTTGGAGAAAAGTCAATCAGCAACCGCCTGCAATGCGGTCTGCGGTTTGTGCGGATAGGGTTCGCGGATGTGCAGGCGGTTTGCGGATTGAACTTTTTTTTCAAAACTTTATTTTTTTCAATTTTGCAAATGTAATTCAAAAAATTTAAATTAAATACAAATTCAATTTCACAGATTCAATTCCATAGATTCAAGTTAACAGATTGAATCAAATTAAATCAAAAATTAATTCCAAAAAACATATTTACTTTTAATAACAGATTGAATTCCAAAAAAAAAAATCTGAATTCCCAAATTGAATTCAGATTGAATAACAAAAAACTTTTAATTCAAAACCACAGATTGAATACTATTTTAATAACAGATTCCCAAAAAAAATTTAATAACAGATTGAATACTATTTTAATTTTAATAACAGATTCATCACAGATTGAATTCAATACAGATTCATCACAGATTTAATTCAATCCAATACCACAGATTTAATTCAAAAAACACAGATATGTTGTAACAAACAAAAAAATAAAAATAAAAATAAACATAGACAGATCTATGAATTCCAAAATTATACAGACACAGATAGATTTAATTCCAAAAATTAAATGACAGATTTAAATAACTGACAGATTTAATAACAGATTTAATTCCAAAAGTTAACAGATTGAATCAAATTAAATCAAAAATTAATTCCAAAAAACAGATTTAATACAGATTCAATACAGATTGAATTCCCAAAAAAATAGATTCCATACAGATTCGAAACAGATTTCAAAAAAATAACAGATTGAATTCCCCAAAAAAAATCTGATTCAATACAGATTCAACACATTTTAATAACAGATTCATCACAGATTGAATTCAATACAGATTCATCACAGATTTAATTCATTCCAAAAACACAATTCTGTTGCAACAAACAAAAAATAAATAAATAAACACAGACAGATCTATGAACTGCTACTCCAAACACAGACAGATCAAAGATCGGGGAGAGTGAGAGAGAGAGAGTGAGAGAGAGAGAGAGAGAGAGAGAGAGAGACAGACAGACAGAGAGAGAGGCTTACTTTACTTGTGAGGTCGATCGGTGTAGATGCAAAACCAGAGAGTGAGAGACTGTGAAATGAGAGAGTGAAGAAGGAAAACAGATCAGAGACACAAAGATCTGATATGTTGGAAAAAAAACCAAAGATCGAGGAGAGAGAGACATATACAGAGACTGAGATTCAGAGAGGAGCTTACCTGTGAGGTGTGTGATGAGGTCGATCGGTTGATCGGTCGATTAGTCCATCTTGCGATGAGAGAGAGAGTCGATCAGTGGGTGTAGGCTGTAGAGATGAAAATCGCGAAAGTGAGAGTGAGCGTGAGAATGAGAGACAAAATGAGATAGATAAAGTGAGAGATAGATAAGATTGATTAGGGTTTTCTTTTTTGAACGGTCAGATTTGAAGGGAAAAAAAAGGCAGTTTTTTTTGAACGGTTAGATTTGACCCCCCTCCAAAAAAAGAGTTTTATGTGGGTGAGTTAGGCGGGTGCGGGTTAAACCCGCAACCCGCCTGCAACCCAAAAATTAGATAAAATTCAAACCGCACCCTACCCTAATGTGTTTGCGAAACCGGCCATACGTGCGCGGTTTGGATCGGGTAGGGCGGTTTGGGCGGTTCGGATAACCCTACGCCCAGCCCTAGTGGGTACCGGTTGGTAAAGGATGAAGAAGGGAAAATGTAAGAACAGTGGCTTCCGTTGCCGCTTCGATTTCTTTTACTTCCGCTAATGACCGCAAAGATCAGGTTCTCTGATACATTTTGAAGAGACGTGAGAGAAAACGTGTAAAAAGGTAGTTGAAGAGACATCGGAGAGAGAGAGTAGAGAGTGTTTAGGGGGGAAAAAAATTGATCTGTTAGATATTAATTAGGATTGATCTAGACCATTTAAATGAAATGTATTTCTAATACATTTTATATATTTTCAAAAACCGTTCTGCTTTATTATATAGATTATAATAGGTTAGTGATTGCTTGTTTTCATCATTAGTGTTTCCTTTCTGTAAGTCTTTCGACCACTTTCGATAAGCCGTTCCTCAATGGCTCCTCCAAATTGTGTAACTTCTCTCCTATATAAATGAGCTAACAACACAAATATAAAATATAATAATTGAGATACATATTTCTCTCTCTCTTTCTCTATACATTATTCTAACATGGCATCAAAACTATAAGATTTAGGCCTGTATTTTTTTCTCACCGGCAGGCAGTCGGCCGACAACTTTGCCTCCGTTGTCCTCTGGAGTTTTCTACACATACCTTCACTCCACTGCATCTTCCAACTCACTTGATTCGAATCCATGTCATTCCCATCTAAACTCAGTCTTACTTTCAACTACTCGATCTTGTTGATTCTGATGCGCTTCATAACTGCGTTCATGAATCCATCTCCTGCATATAAATGGCAATGTGGCCACAAAAGAAAATTACTCAAGCGGGTCTTACCGGAAGTACGGATCAAAATATCAGGGTCGGGTGTGACTGCCATATACATATGTTTCTCAACATCTGGCACACTAATAATATCATCTCCTTTGTTCATTTCATTGGCTCCAAGTCCAATTAAACCATACCCAATACCACTTTCTTCAAGTAATTTGAGTTCATCCCATTTTTCTTGGCAAGATTCTTGAACAGAATGCACAATCTCATCAGTGGAAGTGTAGGCAACACAGATCGATAGCACTGCCTTGGAGTTACTGGTTGTGGCTGTCATAGCCCTCTCTGCTACCAACCTCATAGATTTGCTCAAAAGTTTAAGGTTACCTATAAAGTAAACTCTAACTCCAAAGCGGTTCACTATGATCTCTTCTCTCTAAAATTTAATTCATTTTATTATTATTATTGTTATTATTATTATTATTATTATTATTATGAACAAAATCAGAACCCATGTGCTCTTTGACCCACTTTATGACAATTTGCATCTATACTATTAGCAACACTTATCACACACAGACACACACGCACACACACACACACACACACACACATATATATATATATATATATTAATCCACCTTTTGACCCATCATTCCTTTTTTTCTTTCCACCACCCACATCATCTTTCTTATCTTACTTTTCCACTCTACCATCATCTTTCTTTCCATCATTTCTTTATTTTATTTCTTGTATAACTCGGACTTGTTCCCACTCAAAAAAAAAAAATTCCACACCACCTCATTTTTCTGCTTCGTCTTGTTCCATTCATGCCATTTGGATTTGCATAACAAACTCGTTTTCTTCGTATCAGGGATCAACCCCGCTCAAAGTTCTACATCAGAGAGTTGAAGCTATGGGTGCCCCATGTGACAACCCTCACCTCTGATTAGCGTTAATACGTGATTAAGAATGATAAGTAATTGATTAAGATGAAATCCTCAATTGATTACATGAATGTGTTGTTTTAAATGTATTTCTATCTGTTTGTTACTGAATGATCTGTTTGTGTTTTAATTTTCGAATTGCGAATTGAAAGCCTTATCGGCGACCGATTCAGAAATTGATTAGTGTTATATGCTAATTAGGATTTATATGATTTTATGGTAGGTTTTAATTAAAATTTGATTTGGAATGATTAAATTAGAATAAATGAAGTTAAATTACATTAGCTTGAGTTTATTACATTTTTGCCATTGAGTGGGCCACCTTTAGAGTCATTGTTTGGGGCTTAATTCATATGTTTGACACATCATTCTCCATCCATCTTTTAGACCAAACCGCGAGAGAGAGGGAGAGTAGGAGAAAAATTGATTCAACAATAAATTTTGCTTGAATTTAGAGGAATTGAAGAAGACTTGCATATTTGAGCTACCACACTTGGAATCCAAGACTTAAGGTAGGAAATTCATTCCTTTGATTATGAATTTAAGTTGTTTCTTGCATGGTTCATGGAAATATTGGAGATTAGAGTCAAGATATAGCCTAAGGAGTTGAATTGAGAAGCAATGTGTGCATGCATGTCCATATCATTGAGTTTTGAGATATTTTCATGAGAATTTCCACATGCATGTCCATATTTTGGTTGTACTCTTGAAATTCACCATGTTTTTTAGCTCAATCTTGCATTTGATCATACTTTAGAGCATTAGAGTTCATAAGAACTCATGCATGTCATATTCTTGCATTGTTCTTCAAGTTTACATTTCAAATTGTGTTCAATTATTACACCTTTGGGCTTGATTTTATGAGATGATCTTTAAAACATGTTGTGTTATTAGTTTCTACATGCTTTCCAGAAAATTGGCCCAAAAGGATGAGTTTTGGCATGTTTGATTCTTGGTTTGAGCTTTGGGAGCAAATCTGGAAAACCCAGATTTTGGCTTCCACGCTCGAGCGAAGGATTCCACGCTCGAGCGACCACCTTTGCGTTCAGAGCTTCGCTCGAGCAACGGAATGCTGGCTCGAGCGTAAATTGCAAGCTCTCAGGTTTTTACGTGTGCAGACGCACGCTCGAGCGACGAGACCTACGCTCGAGCGAGGAACTGTGTCTCACGCTTGAGCAAGCATCAAGCGGAGAATTTCAACAACCAGTACTTTTCATGTTTTTACAGACCACTTGAGCGAGGGAGTCTATGCTCGAGCGACCCCTCTGTTCCGGTAAACTCGCTCGAGCGGGGAAAGCCACGCTCGAGCGAGACCTCTGTTTTCAGCAAATTTTGAAAAGTGTTCTAAAGTACATTTTTGCATCCTCATTTCATCCTAGGTATTCCTAAGCCATGTTTAAGGCATCTTAATGAGGATAATGTTATAGAACCACACCAAGTAAGATAGGGGCTAAGTTATTAATCCCGAGTGTGTAATTTAGTGTGTGTTCGTTCTGCAACTGTAGGGTTGGCATCCGAGGACGCTGATTAGCCTGCCAATAGCCTAGTACTCTGTGAGTAACAATGTTGTAAAGCTATGTTCAATTACAATTATTTTCTGAATGATTAACTGTACTGCTTTCTGAAATGATATTGTTTACTGAATGAATGTTGTCCTATTTTATGAACTGTGCTCGTGGCATCCATAGCAGCTTACTGTTACTGTTACTGCTATTGTACTGTACTGTACTGTACTGTTACTGTTACTGTTACTGTTACAAAGATCTCTGTTAGTTCCAATGTTTGGAACCAATATTGCATACTGTTTCGATGGCCATCGATTGACTGTTCGGTCTGTTAAGACCTATTGTACTGTTCTGCTATTGGATGTACCACATATGATTGATATGATTTCTAAATGACTGATATGTCGTGAAATATAAGTCATTGATTGAATAACTGATCTACTGATGCAAATGACTGTTTTAATTACTGAAAGGACATTCATTCTTAACCCCTTTACACAGTTGTTATTTACTGGGCTTTAGCTCACTGTTTATATTTATATGTACGTATCCAGGCACCGGACCAGAGCTAGAAGCGTCGAGTTAAGCTCATGTTTTGTCAAGCCAACCATTGTGCCTCACTTCGAGGTTCCGAGTCTTCTCGAGCCAAGGCTGTTTTTGGGGTGCTTCAGATTCACCATTTTGTCCCAGTTTTGTATCGATTGAATAAGACTTGATTGTACAATTATGGTAAAGGGATTAGGTCCCTACCTTGGATGTTATGTGCATCTGATATGTATATATGTTTTGGTTATGAATGTGTTTTTGTCCATAAAAGTCTTTTCCATTTAGGTTTTCACGGCTCATTGGACATCTTTTTATTACTGATTGGCTTCCGCCAGCCCCTTCATACTGTATTATTGTCTTTACTGTTAAGCAGGCCTTTGGTAATCACAGATTACTGGCCGGTTACGATACTAAACCCATAAGGGCGGGTTTGGGTCGTGACACCCCAGCACACCCAAAAATAAAAAAAAAAGATAAAATAAAAAAAAAACAACAACAACAACAAAAGACACACCAAACAACAACAACAACAACAACAACAAGGGATTTGTTTTCTTTTCCGTTGACAGCCACACACCGACCTCACTTCTTCGCTTCTCCCGCGGATCTTTTCTTCTTGCCTCCGTCTTGGGCGACCCTTAAAGGCCCTACATCCGTGCCTCCAAGCCCGTCGAACGAGTTGACTCCCCGCTGCTCATCAAAAATCGAGTACGGCGGAACTCCGAATTGGACCATGATGGTGGCCTTCCGTTTCAGCACTTTGTTTTTCACCTTCAGTGTGCTAATCACTGATTGCGCATTCTTGTACATGCGCTGGAGCAGTGAAAGTTGAGCAGTTAACTGGTGTACCTCACTCGTTCTATTCTGCAGCCAGTATGACAACTTGGTGACTATAGTCACTGTCTCCATGCACGACTTTAGTGTATAGTGATTGGCTTTAATGTCCGTTTGAGCTGCCATTATTTGCTCCACTGACAGTGTAGGCCAGTTCAACGGAGCAGGGGCAGGGGTACTCTGTCCAGGGGCGGTTATTGGTTCATTCAGGTCTGGAAAGAGGATGAGCGAACCACGGGAAAAAGAAGCCATATTAGAGGTGTAAACAGAAAGGGGTTGTAGAGTAGTTCAGAGGATGCAAAGAAAAAGGATTGCAGAATGGTTCGTAGCTTTGTTTTAGTCTGCCCTCTAACCAACCTTAGCCTCGGTTTAAAACGAGAACGAAGAGACGAAGACGACAAAGAAGGAGCGAGAGCCGAGGCAGACACGACACTCTGTCGGTCATGTGAACCACGGCAGACACAACGCTTGAAACCGCGTGTCTAGCGCAACTTTCTACAAAGGCGAGACATATATATATATATATATATATATCTTTGTATGTATATAGACACGACCACACAGTGTCTTCTCCAACGATCCGACATGACCATACAATGTCTTCTACAGCAGTTCGACACAACCACACAGTGTCTTCTACCCCAGTCTACTACAACCATACAGTGTCTTCTACATTGATCTGCCACGACCACACCGTGTCTTCTATAACGGGTCGACATGACCATACAGTGTCTTCTACACCGGTTTACTCTCTCCAAACTCAAGTTGGTTGATGTTTATCCTCCTTGAGTTTGCTAGGGACTGTTAATATTATATAATAACCTATTATAATATGTTATTCAAATGTTAATGTATAATATTATATAATAGGCTATTATAATATGTTAGTATTATAATAGGTTAGTGATTGCTTGCTTTCATCATTAGTGTTTCCTTTCTGTAAGCCTTTCGGCCACTTTCAGTAAGCCGCTCCTTAATGGCTCCTCGAAATTGTGTAACTTCTCTCCTATATACAGGAGCTAACAACACAGATACAAAATATAATAATTGAGATACATATTTCTCTCTCTCTTTCTCTACACATTATTCTAACATTTATAAATATTTTGGAGCTGGAATCTAAATGACCACTATAGTTAGTTCCCATGCGAGATTTGAGGGTTGTTTGGAAAGTGCTAAATAAGTAGTATATTTTTTGACTTTTTAAGAAAATATATATAAAAAAATAGAGAGGTGATATGACAAAAATAAATAAATAAAAAAGATTAAAAAAAATGTTATTGTAGTAGTTCTCAAACAAGCTCTTGGTGACTTATTGACGCACATAAGGGGTTTGATGATATGTCTGAACGAAATGTTGTTTCTTGTAGGGGTGATTATGGATCCATTCAACCTGTACAACTTGACCGAACCAACCCATCCCCATTGATTTTTTGAATGGATACGTGTCTTTCATTGGACGGGTATAGATGAAATATTTTAAAATATACTGATACAGTTTGGATGGCAGATCAACCATCTCATACCTG